AAAAATAGGATGATATAATATTTGTCCTTTTGTGTCTGGCTTCTTTCATGTAAGCATAACATTTTAAAGCTTCACTCATGTTGTAGCATAGTGTTTCATTCATTTTTGTGACTGAATATTTCTTTGTATATCTTATTTATGTATTCATCAGATAATGAGTTGTATCTACTTCTTTTTTTGGCTGTTAGGATTGCTTTTCTATGAACATCCTTATATAAATTTTGTATAGATAGGTTTTCATTTATTTTGAGTATATATGGATGGGTTGGAATTGCTAGATAATGTGGTAACTGTGTGTAACTCTTGGAGGAACTGTCAGAATGATTGTACCATTTTACAATACCACCAACAATGTATGAGATTGTAATTTCTCCACATTCTCATAAACATTTAATATCAATCTTTTGTATTTCAGTCATTCTAGTAGGTATGAAGTTGTATCTCATTGTGATTTTGATTTTGATAATGACTAATGATAAGCATCATTTCACATGCTTGTTGACCATTTGTCTTCTTTGAAGAAATATGTGTTCAAATCTTTGGCCCATTTAAAAAAGAGTTTTAATGTTGAATATTGTAAACATTCTTTATTCTGGAATATTCTGGAAACTAGTCCTTTATCAGATAGACAATTTGCAAGTATTTTCTCCTATTCTGTGGGTTATCTCTTTTATGAAGGTATCCTTTGAAGCAGAAAAGTTTTAATTTTGGAGTTCAACTTACCTATTTTTTGTTTTGTTACTTGTGCTTTTGGTATTATTGCAGATTTATTTTTAAATAAATTCCCATTGATAGTCTAGGTCTATGACAAAGTTTTAATTATCATAGAACTACAAAAAAGCATTGGCATTTCCTGTGTTTGACAGCCAAAGCCCAAAGGAGGCAATTATCCTTGTATTTGTGCTTCAGTTCCTCAGCTAATTGCTTTAAGCAAAACCTTATGTTTTGATCTCATGTATTACTGTGAAAATATTAGCTGTGTGTGATATGTTTATTGATATTAGTCTTGTGAATTTATGTTTAGTTGTTTTGGATTGAAGAAGAGAGGGGCCATACTTAATAGATGTATTAGTCTGTTCCCATGCTGCTAATAAAGACATACCCAAGACTGGGTAATTTATAAATGAAAGAGGTTTAATTGACTCACATTTCGCAGGGCTGGGGTGGCCTCAGGAAACTTACAATCATGGTAGAAGGGGAAGCAAACACATCCTTTTTCATATGGTGGCAGCAAGGAGAAGTGTAGAGTGAATGGGGGGGAAAAGCCCCTTAGAAAACCATCAGATATTGTGTGAACTCACCATCACGAGAACAGCATAGAGGTCACCGTCCCCATGATTCAGTTACCTCACACTCAGTCTTTCCACAACACTTGGGGATTGTGAGAGCCACAGTTCAAAATGAGATTGGGGTGGGGACACAGCCAAACCATATCAATAGTTTAGTTTATCAAGACAATTACTGCATAATTTTTTTTTTTTTTTTGAAATGCAGTCTTGCCCTGTCACCCAGGCTGGAGGGCAGTGGTGCCATCTCAGTTCACTGCAACCTCCACCTCCTTGGTTCAAGCGATTTTCCTGAGTAGCTGGGATTACAGGCACACACCACCATGCCCAGCTAATTTTTGTATTTTTAGTAGAGACGGGGTTTTACCACGTTGGTCAGGCTGGTCTCAAACTCCTGACTTCAGGTAATTCACGCACTTTTGTCTCCCAAAGTGCTAGGATTACAGGCATGAGCCCCCGCGCCTGGCCAGTGTCTTGGGGACCAGTTTAGTTCCTTATTTTATTTTATTTTTTTACCATTATGTGACTTCTTATATCAGTTGAAGGTGTATTTCATGAGATTTTGGCCTATCTGTTGTCTAATTAGTTTCTGGAGAAACGGTGTGTAACAATGGAATGTCACTGGTCTTCAAAGCATTAGTTTTCTGTGTAAAGTTGAGATTGTAATGTAAATGCACTAGATGTGTTTTTATTAGGGGAATTGACTATTCTTACCTTTCATATTATCTGACAGTATTCTGTGTCAACTTCAGATAACAAAAGGTCTATTTGATGAAATTTTATAAAGCTGAGATCACAGGTGTTCTTGTTAGTTGATTTAAAATAATGATGTTCATTGGCTGACAGTCACTTGAGTGCCTATTAATTGGGTAATATTGTTTTTTTTTTTTTTTGAGAAGGAGTCTCACTCTGTCGCCCAGGCTGGAGTGCAATGGTGTGATGTCGCTGACTGCTGCAACCACTGCCTCTTGGGTTCAAGTGATTTTCCCACCTCAGCCTCCCGAGTAGCTGGGATTACAGGTGCATGCCACCACACCTGGCTAATTTTTGTGTTTTTAGTAGAGATGGGGTTTCACCATGTTGGCCAGGCTGGTCTCTAATTCTTGACCTCCGGTTATCCTCCTGCCTTGGCCTTCCAAAGTGCTGGGATTACAGGTATGAGCCACCATGCCCGGCCAGTTGGGTAATATGATTCTATACATTGATGTTTTTATAGTTTATGTTATAGTATCCATGGAAATTTAGCAGTGAAAAAGGCTAAACAACATTCATGATGTTAAATTTTTAATTGTGATATAAATAAGGAAAAGACATAGTTGAGAGTTACCTCCAATTGTTTATATCAAATGTAGTTATTAATGGGATTTTGGTGACCTATTTATGGCTGAATTAAGGCAAAATAGCTTTTATATCTTATCTTTCCTCTTCCCTTCTCTTGTTCCGTATTCTTACTATCATAATAATTGACTATACATTAATTTTAAGTGTTTAATTTTAAATAGGGTTTTAATATCAGTAGAGACTTGCTTTTTTTTTTTCTTCAAGGTAAGTACCCTTTACACTACCCATTTGTCACTAGAGTCAGTAGAGGTTTCTGTATATAATAGGCAACAGCTTCTCAAGGCATGTCTTACTTTGCTGCTCTGCTGATCCATAATACATCTTAGAGACATTGGTTTTGGTTATCTGACTAGAACAATTAAACTGTTCTTCATTAGTTGGATCTTTGCTTACTAATCTTAGAAAGGCTCAGCTGGACTCAGATTATTCTAATTGCCATACTGTTTTTGCACAAATGCCTGCAAATTGTTGAACAGTAACGCTGACCCCTTTTTCTTCCAATAAAGTTATTACAGTAACCACATCATTGCAGAGAATATTCCCCCCCCAGCCACTGATCAGTAATAACATCCAAGAGCACTGAGAATATTTCTTAAAAGTTTTTCTTTTTAATATTCACTTCTTTAATGAAAAACTTAATCCAGATTAAGCCACATACGTAGACATTTTGACTTCATTATTATGAATACCTGAGATTTCCAAATTCTCTTTAACTGTCTTCACATAATTTCCAGTCTGTTATTCTAAGTAATCACAACTGTTTATTTTTTCTACTTTTGTTCCCTCTTCATGGGCTGCCTAGAGTTTCTAGAGTTTCATCAGTTTCCTGTTTTGAGAGGGTTTCTAGTATAAATTCACATTTCCCCATCCTTGTTTATCCAAGATCCTTCCTGGTAATTTTAAGCTTTTTGATTTGTTTCATTCTGCATGTTAATTATTTGGACCCATTCTCCTGTGCTCAAATGACCAGCCCTATCCCTAGTTTTCTTACTCCTTTTTCATTTCATATTTTATACCCTTTTTTCTTCAGTATTTCTTAAAGAATAAAATGTTTTCATTTCAAAAGCTTATTATCTCTATTTTTAACCTTAGCTTTTCTTTCCTATACCATTTTTTCTTCTTCTTTATGCTCCATGCTGGGTTCTCTGCCTTATCAATTAATCTTGAAAAGGAACTCACGTCCTTCCCATTATCTCCAAGGTTGTTTGACTTATAGTCCATTATAGGTATCTCCAATTTGTCAACTCTTACTCGACTGCTTTCTGAAGTTTGACTATTATTTCTACCAGTGTTCTGCTTTCTTAAGTGTTAAGTACCACATTTCTTACTTAACCAGGTAGATAAACATTAGCTGGATGGATCTGGCTGTAAACATGCTGTTATTTCCAAGATAAAATTGAGTTCCAAATGGCTAAACTTTTCTTTCTACTTTTCTTCCTTTCCTGTCTTTTTAAACATTTGTTATGTTGCTGCTTTTTAACATTCACTTCTCCTTTGTGTTCTTTAATAAACCTTACTGGTTTTTCTCCTCTCTCTTATTAAATGTTTGTTTTCTTTGTTACGGCTTTCTTCTTTTATATACCACTTGTATATAAATTGGGGTGAAGCTTTGCTCTTAGCTCTTTCTCATTGTACACCATTTTGAGGAGATGTTCTCTGTGTTCATTATGTAGATTATCACAAATTTGTGATGACTCACAAATACCACATGTTTCTTTCGGACCTGTTTTACTACTATCTCGTTATGTCATTAGCACCCCAAAATTGTTATTTCCCAAGTGAAAAAGTTTGTCTTGTACAATGCTCGATAACATGGTTGGAACTAAGTAAATGCTTTTTGAATCATGAACAAACTCCTTATCTAAGCTATCCAATCCATTCAATTTATCTTTTTTTTCTTAAGATAAAGGTTTTAACTGTTCACCTATTCTCATGTCACAAGCCCTGTAATATCTCTGACCAATTCTTGTCTACACTTGTTAACATTAGTTATTAGTTATCATATTTTGGTCCTAAATTTGACTAGTGAGGAAGATGACATTTTCATTTGCAGATGGTAGAAATGAAGATCTCAGAGAATGTGATTTCCTTATGGTTTTATGGATAGTGGTAGAGTTGAAACCTAAAACTAAGTTTCTGATGACATGTTTCCTGGTTCCTGGTTTTCACAGAAAACATTCTTCTTCTTTTTTTTTTTTTATTTTAGACAGAGAATCTCACTGTATCACCCACGCTGGAGTACAGTGGTGTGATCTCTTGGCCCACTGCAACCTTGGCCTTCTGGGTTCCAGCCATTCTCGTGTGTCAGCCTCCAAGTAGCTGGGATTACAGGTGCCCGCCACCATGCCCAGCTATTTTTTGTATTTTTAGTATAGACGGAGTTTCACCATGTTGACCAGGCTGGTCTTGAACTCCTGGCCTCAAGTGATCCACCTGCCTCAGTCTCCCAAAGTGGTGGGATTACAGGCATGAGCCACCACAGCCAACCAGAAACATTCTTTGTAATGAATGATACAGGTAATATGCCAGACAAGAAATTACTCAGTGTGTTATGTGAGATTTAAAAAAAAAGAGAAAACTGGAAGTGGAAGTACTTTAAATTCTTGTCTGATGAGGTGAAGATTTTAACTTGGTGTAAGGAATAGAAATCAAAGATGTGAGAAATTTTTCATTAATTAGAACTTTGAGATTCTTCTTTTAAGGATGCAGTGATGCTAGTGAAGTAGTTGAGTGAACCATCTTTCACATAGCAGGTATAAAATCTGGACAAAATATTGAAAGAAAAACTTTAACTGTTTTAAAAGCAATGTAAAGTAACCAAAGAAGGCAAAAACCAGATGAGAGCCTCCAATTGCAATGTGTAATTGTGTGTTTGTGGCTTTCTTGCCTTAGCCTCCTGTTGTTCCAGTGGCATAGGAAAGAAGTTAGCAGTTGGAAATTTACTCAGGGGAATCCTGGAAGCAAGAATTAAGATCCAAAATCTGAATGGAAACTCTGTCCAGATTGTAGCTAATCATGAAACAATACATGCATAGGGAGACCCCAGGGGACCCAGTGTAAAAACAGGTAGAAACAAGAGTGGAATCTGCTCTTGAAAGAATTAAACCATATAATTCATATTTGCTTCTTTTTTTGACAGAACATGTTGTTGACAAAGAGTTAAAATTTAGGGAAGAAACACTGAAAGCAAGATAACATCAGAGGATGTGGGCCACACATCTGAGTATAGTCTCTGTCCAGTTCCTTCGCTGACCACCAGACTACCGAGGTGCAGAGGGAATCCCCTGGGCATCAGGTTAGAAGAAGGAAGCAGCTGGAAGGTGAAAGAACTAAGTAAAATCATTGTTGCTTACCACAAGGGAGACACAATAAGTCCTCACTTAACTTTATTGATAGGTTCTTGGAATCTGATTTTAAGTGAAACAATGTGTAACAAAATATTTTTCTCCCCTCAATTTTATAACAAAACAATATTAAAGGAAATGACAGTGTTTAAGGATCTTGGTATATGTTGTTTTGCTTCAGGTTGCTGTTTCCAAGAACCTGTCAATGATACGAACTGAGGACTTACTGAAGTTTGCAGTTTTAGTCCATGCAAGCCCATTAGAATCATACAACACAAAAACCAAATGTTCTTTGAAAGACTGTGACAAAATCCTATTGCTATAATATGTTGTTTACAATATCTATTTTCAACCAAAAATTATTAGATATGCAAAGAAAGTGGAAATGTGATTCATTCTCAGGTAAAGAAAATCAGTTAATAGAAATTAACCCTGAGTATAGCTAGATACTGGATTTAGCAGGCAAAGACTTTAAAATAGTGCTAAATATAATCGGAAGAATTTAAGGAATCCTGTGTTCAAAAGGATTAAAGAAAAATACAGTCACCCCTCTGTTTCCATGGTTTCTGCATCTGCAGATTCAACCAACCATGGATCAAAAATAGTTGTGGAAAAACATAATAAAAATTTACAGTACAACAGTAAAAATATGCAAATTAAAAACAAAGTCTTGTTGAGTGAACAGATAAGAGATCAAAACAGAGAAATATAAAGAAGAGAATTTTAGGGTTGAGGTCAGTAACTGCAATGAAATTTTATGTGACAGAGTCTTGCTCTGTTGTCCAGGCTGGAGTACAGTGGCATGATCTCAGCTCTCTGCAACCTCAGCCTCCGAGTTGAAGCGATTCTTTTGCTTCAGCCTCCAAGGTTTCTGGGATTACAGACCTGCAACACCATGCCCAGCTAATTTTTGTATTTTTAGTAGAGACAGGGTCTCACCGTGTTGATCAGGCCAGTCTCAAACTTGAACTCCCGATCTCAGGTGATCTGCCTACCTCAGCCTCCCAAACTGCTGGGATTACAGGTATGAGCCACCGTGCCCACACATGAAATTTAATTAAACAAGCAAAACAGTTGTTTGGAGATGGCAAAAGAATCAGTTAAAGATAGATTAATAAAAGTCATCTATTGGAAAGAGAGAATGGGGAAAAATAAGCAGAGTTTGAGAGACCTTTGGGGTAATACAGTGTTTGAACATCCATCTAAATGGAGTCTCAGAGAATAAATAATGGCTTGAAAACCCCCAACATTGGTGGAAAGTATCAATTTACATATTGAGGAAGCTCAGCCAACTTCAAGCAGGATAAACATACACAAAAAACATATGTAAGCACATAAGTAGTCAAATTGCTCAATGCCAGAGAATATCTTGAAAGTAGCCAGAAATAACTTACCAGAAACAATGGCGACCTCTAGTCATGCTTATGGTATATTCAGCTGAAAGGCAAAAAGCTATCAAATAAGAATTCTATGTTCAGCTAGAAGTGAAGGTAAAATAAATACATGTTCAGATAAGCCAAAACTGGGAAATTTTTCACCAGCCAACCACCATTACGAGCAATTCTAAAGGAATTGATTTCAAGGGAAATGGTACCAGTAACATCAAAACTAGTAAATACATAATTTAATTTTTATAATTATAAACTATATTTTTTCTTATTTTAAAAACAGGTACCTGTGACTTGAAGCAAAAATTATGATGCTGTATTGTTGGGTTTATAATGGAGTTTGATAATTGACATATGATATTTAACATGTATGTTATGAAATGACATGCAAATTGATATATTAAACAATAGTCTTTTGAACATGGTACATCTCATTAGGGTTATTGTTTAATTTTAGTAATGTATAACAAAACTTTAAAGTGTGGTAAAATACTGAAAATTTGCCATTTTCATTTTAGCTGTATGATTCAGTGGCACATTACATTCCCAGTGTTGTTCATTCATTACTACTTTTAATACATTCACAGTGTTGTTCATTCATTTCTACTTTTTCCAGAACTTTTCTATCATTTCAAACAGAAATTCTGTACTTACTAAGCAGTAATTTCCCATTTCCCTTTCCCTAGTCCTTGGCAATGTCTAATCTACTTTCTGAATTTGCGTATATGTAGTATTCCCCTTATCTACAGTTTTGCTTTCTGCAATTTCAGTTATCCATGGTCCTCCACGGTCTGAAAATCGGTGATTATAGTACAATAAGGTATTTTCAGAGACAGAGAGAGACCACATTCATATAACTTTATTACAGTATAATTCTTTTTTATTATTAATATTGTTAATCTCTTTGCCCAATTTACAGACTAAACTAATAACTATATATGTATAGGAAAAGAAATAGTGTATATAGAGTTTGGTTCTAACTGTGGTGTCAAGCATTCACTGGGGGTTCTTGGAACATATGTCCTGTGGATAAGTGGGGGACTAGTGTACTTCCTGCCCAGCCCCTTGGTTTGGAATCACTGCTGTATGAATATAAGGGCAGTCTGCCTGTGTGGTAACTCTCCATTGATCACCAGGGTGAATGAGTTAATTGCTGTCTATGAAGAGTCTTGGAATGACTATTGAGTTTGCTCTGTGTATGTATACATACAACAGTATGGCTACTGTTGTAGCTGATTTGGCTATGGTATTGTAGTACCTTATTTGCTTCAGAGATGGAGTATTGATAAAATCTGGTTTACTTAGTGGAAGCTGGTGTAAAAATGGGTTCTCTGTTTTATTGAATTTAGCTTGATTGGAAAAAGTGGAAGTGCTGATGGTTTTGAAAATATGATGGTAATGATGTCATCCTCTGGTTTCAATATTTTGTAGCACTTGTGGTAGATTAAATGCTGGTGTTGGTAGTAAAGTCATTCTGTAGTTATAGTCTGAACTAGCTGTACTGTTTTGGGTAGTGACTTAGACAGTAGTGAATACCACTTTCCTAGGCAGGGCTCCTCACCTCTCCTAGAGAGCCATTTCACTGCATGTTGGAGCAAATATACAGACAGGAAGTAGTTAGACCCTAATTTCTACAAGTTAGGTCAGTTGGGGAACAATTGTGGTTGTCTACCTGTGTTAGGGCTGTATTGGTTTTGCTTTTAGTTGTGCTATAAAGTGGGAAAGATTGAATTGCTTATTTATCTCTTATTTATGGTGAAACTTTCCTGTGGTCCATAGAAGTGGCATAGCAAGCTGAACATAGCTGGGTTGGTTCTTGATTACAAGATCCTACCCCCACCTACCTTTTTTTCCTGCCTAGTTTCTTGTATTCAGACTGCAAGCTCTTTTTCTCAGTTAGAGGTAAGTTAGTTCACTCTTGATAGAGCTGGTTTACAAAGGAATTTTATGTGTGTCATACTGTTTGATTCTCTCTTAAAAGTAGATATAGGACTGTGGTAACAATCCAACATGATGTTAACTGTGCTCTCATTTTTAAATGTGTAAATGGATGTGTGTGAAATGGTGGCTTGTCTGATACAGTATTGGCCGCTAAGACATGTCTGACCTAGAGCCTAGATGTGTTGGCTTCTTAATAGTCTCTGTGCCATGCTCGATGATGTATATTTGGATCATTCTTTTTAGTTGACTAAGATGATACATATCTTATACCTCTTGAGAGGAACATAAAGGCAGGTGAAAAATTTACTAGATGCTCTTAAAAGATGAAAATAGATGTGCTCCATCACTAGTATAGTTTCTTTTTGACCACTGTGTCAACCTGTTTAAAAGTATATTTTAAACATCAAATTAAAAAGATTTCCTTAACTGACTTTTTTTTTTTAATAGGGGTGGGGAAGATATGAGTAGAAGAGAAATGCATTGGAAACTGAGTACCACTACCTTTTTTCTTTACCTTCTATTCAAAAATCTTTCTTAAATTCTACAGTATCAGTATAACAATTTTTATCTTTTCAACTGTCTTTAAGATTCTTTATTTTGTCTCCAGACTGTTAGGATTCTACTAGAGAAGTTGCTTTTGGATTTTAATTTCTCTGCTCCATTTTCATCTTCTTTTTTAATTAAAAAAATCCAGTTTTATTGAGTTCTAATTAATGCATAATTTGTTGAGTTTTGACATATATGTGTTCTCATGAAGCCATCACCACAATGTATATAACCAGTGAATATATGTATCACCCTCAAAAGCCTCTTTGTAATCTCTTCCCTCCCCACTTCCTAGCAACCACTGATTTGCTTTCTGTTACTGTAGGTTAGTTTGCATTTTCTTGAATGTTATGTAGATAGAATTATGTAATGTGTCTCCTCTTTTGTCTGACTTCTTTCAACCTTAACTGAATACATTTGAGATTAGTCTATGTTGTTGGATGAATAATCAATACTTTTTTTTAACTAGGGAATGGTATTTCCTTTTTAGTGTATATTACAATTTGTTTTTTGCCTGTTTCCATTTAGCTATTATTACTGGATTGGGTTATTAACAGTTATTGACTATTATGAATAAAGTGGTCACAATGTTTGTCTGTGGTTTTGTTATGTGGACTTGTGCTCTTATTTCTCCTATAAGTGGAATGGCTGAGTCATGTAGTAGGTGTATATTTACCTTTATAAGACACTACCAAACTTTTCCAAACAGATTCTATCAGTTTATATTACCACTTTCAGTGTATGAGCATTTCAGTTGTTTCACGTCCTCAGAATTCTTGGTATGGCCAGTATTTTTTTGTTTTAGTAGCTATATAATAATGTCTTATTGTGGTATTCATTAATTATTAGGAAAGTGTGAATTATGTTAAACATCTTTACGCTTGTTTGCCATTCACGTATCTTTTTTTTTTTTTTTTTTATTTTTTTTTTTTTTTTTTTTTTTTTTTGGAGATCCACTCTTGCTCTGTTGCCAGGCTGCAGGCTGGAGTGACATATCTTTTTTTGTCGAAGTATTTTCTCAAATCCTTTACCTATTTATTTATTTTAAATAAGAGCCTTGCCCTGTCTCTCAGGCTGGAGTGCAGCGATATGGTCATAGCTCACGTCAGCCTTGACCTCTTGAACTCAAGTGATCCTCCTACCTCAGCCACCTGAGCAGCTGGGACTACAGGTGTGTACTGTGACACTCAGCTAATTTTATTTTTTAAAGATAGGGTCTGACTGTTGCCCAGGCTGGTCTCAAACTTCTGGCCTTACGCCATCCTTTCACTTCAGCCTCCTAAAGTGCTGGGATTACAGGCATGAGCCACAGCGCCTGACTACTTAATTTTTTTTTATTGTATTGTTTGTCTTATTATTGAATTATAAGAGTTCTTTATGTGTTCTAAATACTAGTCCTTTGAATAACTAGTTGCAGATTTTTTTCAGTTTGTGGCTTGCCTTTTTTTCTTTACCAATTTCTTCTCAAGTTCAAAAGTCTTTTATTTTGATGAATACACGTTTATATTTTTTCTTTTATATATCATGCTTCTTGTATTGTATTTTGGTAGGCCAAATAATGATTTCTGAACGATGTCCACATCCTAATTTCCAAAAGCTGTGTATGTTACCTGACATGGCTCTAGGAATTTTCATACATGATTAAGTAAAGGATCTTTAAAGGGGACGCTTATCTAGGTGAGCCCAGAGTAATCAGAGTCCTTGTAAGGGAGAGGCAAAACCAGTCAGGGCAGAATTGATGAATAACTGCAGCAGAGGTTGGAATAATATGCTTTGAAGATGGAGGAAGGGGTCATGAGCTAAGGCCATGAGCTAATAAATTTGTGCTGCTTTACACCACGTTTATAGTAATTTCTTAAAACAGCCAGTATAGGTTTTGGTACCTCTAAGTGGAATGGTGCTGTGACAAATACCTAAAAAGGTGAAAGTGGCTTTGAAATTGGGGTATTGGCAGAAGCTGGTATAATTTTGAGGAAGGTGATAGAGAAAGCCTGTACAACGGTACAGCCTCTTTTGGGGCTGGTGAGGCCCCAGAAGGAGGGGAGGAGCACAGTAGAGAAAATCTGTTATCATGTTAGAGAATACCTAAATCATCATAAAGAGACTGTTGGTTGGTGGAAATGTGAATGTTAAAGATGCTGCTGCTTGTGGAGGCTATGAAGGACTTGAGGAAGATGTTACTGGAAACCGAAGTAAAGGGGATCCTTGTTTAGATTGTAACAGAAAGCTTATCTGAATTCTGTCCTATAGTTATGTGACTAAGTCTTCTGTGTTGCCTGGGTATGGCAGCAGTCATTTATGTATACATTTGTAGTTCTATTCTGTACTTGTTATAAAGTAGTTTTAATTAAAGTGACAGATTTATATTTTTATAAAATAAATTTATATTTGAAAAATCCATATTTAGAACAAATATCTTGGTAGACTATATATATTCCTGAGATATTATCATTATAAAAGTTTTTTACAGCTTTCTTTTGAATAAATGGAGATGTAAAAGTAATTTCTTTTTAAACCTTTAATTTCTAGATTTCATGATGACTTCTTTAAAAAGAATAATTT